TTCTTTCTTTCTTTTTTTTTTTTTTTTTTTTTTTTTTTTTTTGGTTTTTCGAGACAGGGTTTCTCTGTGGCTTTGGAGGCTGTCCTGGAACTCGCTTGGTAGTCCAGGCTGGCCTCGAACTCACAGAGATCTGCCTGCCTCTGCCTCCAGAGGGCTGGGATTAAAGGCGTGCGCCACCACTGCCTGGTGCAGCCCCTTATTTCTTGAGACAGGGTCTCTCTATGTAGCCCAGGCTGTGCAGAAACTTGCTATGTAGACCAGCATGACCTCAGACTCACATAGATCCATCTGCACCTGCTCCGCAAGTACTGAAATTAAAGGGGTACACCACCATGCCTGGCTTTTTATATATTTTATTTATGTATGTAAATGGGTGTTTTGTCTGCAAGTGTACTTGCATACCAAAAGACAGCATCAGATCACATGGGTTGTAGTGACAGACATTTGTGTGCTGCCATATGGATGCTGGGAATTGAACTCAGACCTTCAGGAACAACAGACATGTTCTTAATCACTGAGTCATCCCTCCAGCCACTCCTGGCTTATTATTAATTATGATTATGTTTTATTATTATTGTGAATAGGGCTGTGTGGAGTCAGTTCCCACCTTTCCGAGGGTTCTGGGGGTTTGAGTCAGGTCCCTAGGTTTGCTCAGCAGGTGGCTTTACCCAGGGAGCTGCCAGGCTGGCCTTACTGATTTGTAATATTTATTTGTGTATGTGTGTGGGCACACATGTGCCATGGAGTGAATGTAGTGGCCAGAGGATAGCTTGTAGGAATCATTTCTCGCTGGGCAGTGGTGGCGCACGCCTTTAATCCCAGCACTCAGGGGCAGAGGCAGGCGGATCTCTGTGAGTTCGAGGCCAGCCTGGTCTACAGAGTGAGTTCCAGGACAGCCTCCAAAGCCACAGAGAAACCCTGTCTCGAAAAAAACAAGCCAAGCAATAAAAGGGAATCATTTATCTGCTTCCATTGTGTGTGTCCTGGATTGAATCCAGGCGTTTAGTTTTTCAGTAAGTGCCCTTACTCTTATTAAATTATCGCATGGTCACATCTTTATTTTTAAATTGCATTTGTTTAGGGCCGGGCGGTGGTGGCACACGCCTTTAATCCCAGCACTCTGGAGGCAGAGGCAGGCAGATCTCTGTGAGTTCGAGGCCAGCCTGGACTACAAGAACTAGTTCCAGGACAGCCTTCAAAGCCACAGAGAAACCCTGTCTCGAAAAACCAAAAAAAAAAAAAAAATTGCATTTGTTTAATTTTTGTTTGTTTGTGTGTGTGTGTGTGTCTGTGTGTCTGTGTAGGAGAAAAAGAGACCATAAAAACGGGTACAAGTATGAAACAGAACACGTGTAGAGGTCAGAAGACCTCCAGGACAATCAGACTTGTTACACAGAAAAACCCTGTCTTCTCCAAAACAATACAGAGAAACCCTGTCTCGAAAAACAAAACAACAACAACAACAACAAAAAAAGAAAAACCCTGTCTTGAAAAACAAAAACAAGACAAACAAACAAAAAAGGCAAGCTATTAGCAGGCTAGTTTTTGTCAATTTGACCCAAACCACCAGAATCCTCTGAGAAGAAGGAATCTTAATTTAAGAGAAAATATCTCTACAAGATTGGTTGGCCTGTGTGGTATTGTCTTGATTAATGATTAATGTGAGCAGGTCCAGCCCGCTATGGGGGTACCACCCCTGGGCTGGTAGTCCTGGGTAGCTTCAGAAAGTAGAATAAGCAAGACACGAGGGACAAGCAGTGTTCTTTCATGGCCTCTCCGTCAATTCCTGTATCCAAGTTCCTGCCCTGACTTCTCCACATGATGTACTGTAAGCCTTAAAATGAATGACCCCTTTCTCCGCAGGTCGCTCATAGTCATGGTGGTTATCACAGCAACAGAAGCCCTAAGACAGTCATGAGTCCAACAGAGCAGCAGGGCTAGAAGAGCATTTCTCGTAGCATCAGGAAGATACCAGGTCTGCACTTCCTTTCTGACCCTGTACACCAGGCAGCTTATCTGTGGCAGGAATGTCCTGTCTTCACCATCAGCCTGCCTTGGTTGAGTCCTGGCCTTCTAGAGCCTTCACTTTCTCTGACTTTCCTGCCAATGCCAGAGAACAATATAGTTCCCAAAATGGTGGTGGTGGAGGAGGGTTGAGGGGTTGAGACCCCTTCGTCCATCAACCAGAATTGTAGACTAACATTCACTAAGGGTTGTCACACATACAGCACCGAGAAAAAGAGCCAGAAGGACCAATATGTCTATGTAAAGGCAGGCAGAAGCTCTGTGGCTAAAATCCATCCACCTAGATAAGCTTCTGGGGAGACCCTGAACAGATACCTACCTGCAGGCAGGGCCCACGGTGCAGCTGTGGACGTTACTGTTAGTAAATTCCAGAAGTTCCAAGCTGGAAGGTAGTCAAGCATCCCCAGCCCCTAATCCAACCACACACTCCTCCCCTCTAGGTCATCGGGCAGGCATCTCAAATACCACCCCACCCTCTGGTCTGTGATACTCAGGCGCTCACACATCAGTCTGGAAGTTTGCTGTTTCCCAAGTTTTGTTTGCAAACTGAAGTTAGGGACTCTGTCTTCCTCCCCACCCCACCTCACCCCGCCCCGCCCTGGGCTTGTAACTGTATGCTTCCCTATGGGAGTCCTGGGTCCCAGTCCAGTCAGCAAGGTGTGTAAGATAAGGAAGCAAAGACCGATGCAGCCAGCCAATCCTCACCACCTCCTGCCAGTTTCTCAGCAGGCACCGGGGCACCTGTGCCAGAAGGGTGTGGCAAGAGGTCTGAGGTTCAGAGGCATCTAAGAAGACTTTGGCCTCGGTGACACAGGGAATTAACCCAAAAGATCCCAGGGAATGCTGATGGCAGTTGGCAGGGTGGGTAACTCCTAATCGGTCAGCAGGACTGGCTAGGCCAGCGGTTCTTAACAAGTGGGCCGGCGTGAGCCCATAGGGTCACACATCCTGTAGATCACATGTTTACATTACAATTCATAACAGTAGCAAAATTACAGCTATGAAGCAGCCACAAAGTAATTTCATGGTTGGGGGTCGCCACAACAAGAGGAACTGTAATAAAGGGTTGCAACATTAGGAAGGTTGAGAACCACTGCTCTAGACTCTGGATGTCCAGGCTTCAGGGACGAAGGAGAGGTCCTGTGTTTGTTTTGTGGCCCTTGGGCTCAAGCCTGGGGCCTTTTTATGACATTCGGGAGCCCTACTACAAAGCTACATCCCCCGGCTGTGGTTCCTCCTTTTTTTCCCTTTAAACTTATTTTATTGAATCATAAATGTGCAAGAGCTTCTTTTTGTTTGTTTGTTTGTGGTTTTTTTGTTCTTTTTATGTTTTTTCGAGACAGGGTTTCTCTGTATTGTTTTGGAGGCTGTCCTGGAACTCACTCTGTAGACCAGGCTGGTCTCGAACTCACAGAGATTCACCTGCCTCTGCCTCTTGAGTGCTGGGATTAAAGGCGTATGCCCCGGCCTGCAACAGTTTTTTAACTCTACACAGTCATTTAAATGTATAATTTTCAGTTTATAAAGAATTAGATTTGCCGGGCGTTGATGGTGCATGCCTTTAATCCCAGCACTCGGGAGGCAGAGGCAGGCGGATCTCTGTGAGTTCGAGACCAGCCTGGACTACCAAGCGAGTTCCAGGACAGTCTCCAAAGCCACAGAGAAACCCTGTCTCGAAAAACCAAAAAAAAAAAAAAATTAAGGGAAAACTGGATGTTGGTGGTGCACGCCTTTAATCCCAGCACTCAGGAGGCAGAGGCAGGTGGATCTCTGTGAGTTTGAGGCCAGCCTGGTCTACACTGAAAGTTCCAGGACAACCTCCAAAACAATACAGAGAAACCCTGTTTCAAAAAACAAAAAACAAAAAAACAAAAAAAAGGGGAATATGTGGTGTCTTATTACACCATAATCCTTGGTAATTATTTTTAAAAATACCGGGAAAAAATCTTTTAAATGTTTGAGTGATATGTGACACTTTATAATTTACTCTCCCTGGGTTAAGAAAGAAAAAGAAAATGGTGTAAGACACAAGAGATGCTGGGGTGTTAGCGCCTCCAGGTTCCCAGATCCTGCAGCCCTTCTTGGTGTCCACCCTGCTAGAAACATAATGGAGGCTTGGCATAGTGACACACACCCTTAATCCCAGCACTTGGGAGGAAGAGGCAGGTGCATCTCTGAGTTTGAGGTCAGCCTGGTCTACAGAGAGAGTGAATTCTAGGACAGCGAGAGCTACATAGTAATACTCTGTCTCAAAAAAAAAAAAAGCAAAAGAGAAAGACAAAGAAACAAAGAAACAAAAGAAAAAATAACATAGTCCGCAGTGGGCTGTAGTTCAGAGATGGCACTCTCCTGGTTCAATGGTGGAGCACTCACCCGGCTTGCAGAGGAGTTGGGTTCCAATCCCAGCACCATAAGAATGAAAATGGTAGTGGGGTTTTGTTTTGCCTTTCTCTTAATGACAACACAACGAAGTTGAAAGGCAAATAAACTTGAATTTGAAACCTAGTCCTACAACTTACATCTTAATTGACATAGATTAGTTATTTAAATCCTTTAAACCTTGTATTTTTGGTTGTGAGCCTAGCCTTTAATGGCTGAGCTATCCCTCCAGCCCTAAACCTTGTATTTAATACAGGAATTGTGTAGATTAACCCTACAAGAGTCTAATGATTAAAAAAGAAAACATAGAAAGGATTTCGAAACATTCCCTGCACAAGTTGTGTTACTTAACCATTGGCCATTATTGTAATTCCTTATCTTCCTATTTGCATACTTGCACACACACACACACACACACACACACACACACACACACACTGCCCTCTAATCACAAATGGAAAGTGAATATGCCATATTGGTGAGAAAAATGTAAGTTTTTGCCAAGTCTGGGGGACTGAGGAGTCCCTGCCCATCTCTGCTTCCTGAGGAACATACATTTATCAAGTAAGGACCCAGAAAGGGAAGAAGAGACTCACCAGACCTGGGAGAGGTCCCGAAGATGGGAAACCTGTTCTTGCCCTCAGCTGGTGACTTCAATATGGGAACAAGTCCTGCTTCAGGCAGCCCCTCTGTGGATCTCCCCCAGCACCTCAGTGGGGTGCCTCTGTCTTGGTCCATCTACAGCAACTATTCATGATCCAGAAGTTTGCATAGGGGCCAGGGGGCACTCATTCCAGTCCTGACCAGCTGCCTCTTCAACTGCTCAAGCCCTTCCCTTCCCCTCCCTACTTCAAACACCCTAGACAGTTCTGTGGCCAGGCCTTTAACCCTTTTGATGCCACTGCCCTGCCCTAGTCATTCCCTGAACAAAGGGCAGCCACAGGACTCAGGCTCCTGTGGAAACAGGTGTGGGAAACCAGGCTGGGGTCACCCCGAGGGCAGCTGAGGGCAGAGGATGTGGGACCCTGATAACTAGGGAACTTTTTATCTTCCCTCTACCAGGGGACAGGAAGAAGCTGGGGAGGGGAGAAGGGAACATCATCCCAGGGAAAGAGTTACAGCTGGAGACCTACTTAACAGCAAGGTCTTCCCAGAGGTCAGCAGGGTCCTCTGTCCTCTCTCACATTTGGCTTAAAAGCTGCTCTTTGGTCCCTTTAAGAGGCAGTTACAGTAGCGGAGGAGGAAAGACTGTACTCATATGTGATAAAAGTACCGGAGAAGAGATTACCAAGGCAGCTACAGATGAGGAGGGCCCTAGCTTGGGCAGGGACAGGGTGACCAGCAACTCAGCACACATACACATGGCACCGATTGTTTTGGATACCAGGGGACAGGATATTTGACCAGCTCCTCCACCCTTTCCTTGGTAACTGAGGGGGTGTGGTGGACTCACCCTCACTTTTTCCTCCAGGGCAGAGGGCAGCTCGGCACACGTTGGACTTCCTGAGCTAACACATCGGGCCTCTCTAAGGATACTGTGGCCACTGGAAAGGGCTTGTTGGAAGATTTGCAGGTTCTGACAACTCGTTATTTACAGGGCCTTTGACAAATTGCGTTTTAAAGGCTTCATCCCCCCTTTGTAAAGTGGGGCAGTAAATGGGAAAGGTGGATTTGTAGTAGTCACTCAGTAAATGTGTTGAGTGCCATTGTGAGGTGCATAGCACTCTGGGGCAAGGCCAGCCTGGGCTATGTAGTGAGTCCAGGCTAGTTTGTCCATTCAGAGACCAGTTTTGAGGTTCTGTCTCAGAAACAAGTGAAAATAAGCATGCTAACTGCCACCTGCTGGCCACCTTTGGGCAAACTGATTCACTTTGTCCTCCATGACCTATTTGAGTAGAATAATTAAATTAGCTGCTGTTAGGTTTCAAACCTGAGACAAATGGCTGAGGTGCCTACTTAACACAGTGAACCTGGCCTCCAGGTTCCCCCTTTTCCCTCAGCCCCCACCTGTCACAGGGCCTCCTGGCTGGCATGCCCCATCCCCTATTCTAAACGCTCTAGCCCAGGGACCTGTGTAATCCAACCATTTTTGTTACCTGCTGTCTTTGTATATTGGGCCTCCTGGATGCTGCACCTGGTCCCCCTCTCTCTCCTCTCCCTTTCTCTCCTCCCTCTCCCCACAAGGCCCAACCCAGTCTGGACATGTCTACACTGGACTCTCCCGGAGGTCCCTGCCTCTGGCTATGCTCTCCCACACATCTACAATAAACGTTTTCCTCCAGCACACCTGGGAGCAGGAGACCCAGTCACCTTTCCTTTTTATTCCTTTTTTCCTCTCAATGGTCAGTCGTCCTTTGCTGTCAAGCGTTTGCTGTGGGTGAGAGGAAAGGCAGAAGGAACTAAGTCCTTTTCCTATGTGCCCTAAGCAAATACGAGAAGGGGAGGGGACAGCAATTGCTTTTTTGTTTCGTTTTTGAGACAGGGTTTCTCTAAAAGTCCTGCTTGTCCTGGAACTCACTTTGTAGACCAGGCTGGCTTCAAACTCACTGAGATCCATCGGTCTCTGCCTCCCGAGTGCTGGGATTAAAGGCGTGCACCACCACTACCCTGCCAGTAATTGCTTCTTCATGAGAACACAGGGGAAATGCCCATGCCATCCCATAATAAATAATCTGTGATGGTCCAGATTAGGATGCAGGTTGCAACATGGGCATTACCGAGGTCAACACTGAGTGGCCATCTTGGGGCTGGGACCCAGTTGTCCTGATCCTGTGTGGTCAGTGCTGCTCCCGAGCCCCAGGTGTGCATTCAAGGGCGACAACGTACTGGGTCTGCACTGAGTTGCCCTATTCTTCTGCAGTGTAAACTCTCATAGTTTCTCCAGATCTGAAGGTCAAGGGAAGGGAGCAGAAACGCAGGCAACTGACTGCGGCTGGTACCAGGCTGAGGGGGGATGCTGCCTGGATGTCATGGGAGGGCTCTAGCTCTGCAGAAGGCAGAGGGGCCTGGCACCTGCAGGCTGCAGGCTTACTATCTATCCTTTTAGGGTGCCTCAGCTTGGGCACCCAACATTCAGGGTCTTGCTTACCTCCCTTCTGCTCTCACAGATATGCATAAACCTGGGCTCAGGGTTGACATCCTTGAGGTTTTTTTGTGAGCAGCAGGGAGTGCTGTAGGCACTCATCCTCCCATTAGATTGCCTGAGGCTGACACGGGCAGCCCGGAAGCAGACTGTTCAGCTGGGTCTGTCTGCAGACTCTAGGAGCCCTTATGGTCTCCATAGCCTCTACTCCACGGAGGCTCAAATTCACCCAGACTCCGAGGCAGCTGATCTCTTGAGAGATGAAGTGTCCAGTCTGGCCTCTTTTCAAAGTACCTACGGCATTCACTGCTGGATTCCTGGATTCCCGTTTCATCTCCTTCCCCACTGGGGCCGTTCACACAGAGCCTCCGTGACAGGAAAAGGAGAGCAGCTCCCTAGCTTTCCGGAAGAGACCACCCAGAGAGAACCCAAGAAAGAACCCACTTTGTGTCACCTGCCCAGTCCATCCGGTTGTGGGCAGGAGACTCTATCTCCGGTGGAAAGCACACATGGGAAACAGCGCGCCCTTCTCTGGAAATGAATAGCTCAGCACTAGTCAGTGAGACCCTCCCTATCAAATGGACTCCCCCTTTGACACGTCCCTATACCTGTGCAACCCAGTTCCAATCTGAGCTTCCCCAGATTCCCACCAGAACATGACGAGCAAGGGCAATCATCTCTCTTGCTGTCTGACCTGGCTGATGCTGGGGTGTCCAAGCTGCAGGGCCTGAAAGAAGGAGGTGAGCTGGCTGAGGACCACCCCATTTGGAGCTTCCCGTTGCCTCCATGTCCTTTTCATCTTCCAGGGAGCCAGAGGCTCCCAAGCTGGGTAAAGGAAAGGTTAAGCCGGTTGGGCAGGGGAGCTGAGGAGCGGAATCTAAGGGGGAAACTTGGTAGCAGAAACAAAGCCTGTGTTTGTTGGACTTCCCTCCTGCTTGGGAGGGTGTTCTCAGACCACGGCATTCCTGGGTTAGACAGAGTCAGTTTACAGTGGCTTCTCCACAAGGCCTATGCAGCCAAAGCTCCTTTTTTCCACAGGCTGCACGAGGGCGCAATGAAGGAGACCCACAATTTCTTCAGGGCCTGAAAGACCAACATTGCTGGGCAGTGGTGGCACATGCCTTTAATCCCAGAAGCAGGTGGATGTCTGTGAGTTCAAGGCCAGCCTGGTCCACACGGGAGTTCCAGGACAGCCAGGGCTATGCAAGGAGACTCCATCTCAAAACAAAGCTCAAGAGAAGCCAGTTCTTTTAATAACACGCTATGCAGAGGTCATAAAAGGGTGTTGGATCCACTGGGGCTTGAGTTAAAGGCTGCCTGACTGACATGGATGCTAGTCTCTGAATTTGGGTCCTTTGCAAGAACAGTATGTGCTTTTAACTGCTGAGCCATCTGTTTTGGTTTTTTGAGACAGGGTTTCTCTGTGTGGTCATGGCTGTCCAGGAACTCAGAGCTGCTGCCTCTGCCTCCTGACTGCTGGGATTAGAGGCGTGCATCACCACTGTCCTGAGCCATTTGGTTTTGGGGTTTTTAAAAACATAATTCTAAAAATTTATGGGCAAGAGTGTACCAATTGAGCCCTTGTACCATCAAAGTCTGGAAAAGGGTAATGAATCCCTTGGAACTAGAAGTTAGAGACTGTGAGCTACTATGTGGATGCTGGGAATAGAACCCAGGTCCAACAGAACACCCAGTGCTTTTAACTACTAAGTCACCTTTTCCATCCCTAAGAATCACTACTTAGCCCAGTGACCCTCAACCATAGATTTTGTTGCTACTTTGTAACTATAATTTTGCTACTGTTATGAATCATAATATAAATATCTGATATGCAGTAATTTGATATTTGACCCCTGTGAAAGGGTCCTGACCCACAGGTTGAGAACCACTGACTTAAGACAGTGGGTTAGAAACAGGCTGTTTTCTAGAAAAGTACATCCTGAGAGCAGAGCACACAAGGCCAAGAAAATCTGCTTGTAATTTAAAAAGCAGTTCGAGAGAGAAGGCCATGGGCAGAGCTCACACGGAGGGGCTTATCAGGGAAAAGAAAATGGGAAGGGGCTGGAGAGATGGCTCAGAGGTTAAGAGCACTGACTGCTCTTCCAGGGATCCTGAGTTCAAGTCCCAGCAACCACATGGTGGCTCACAACCATCTATAATTCAATCTGGTGTCCTCTTCTGGCATGTAGGCAGAACACTGTATATGTAATAAATAAATAAATCTTTAAAAAAAAAGAAAGGAAAATGGGAAAAGGGGAAGGGGAGCCTGGGCTCTGGAAAGAGAAAAGTGGTAGGGAAGAACAGGAAGAACATTAGGGTAAGGATTGAGACACAGGGGACAGAGAGTCAGGCAGAAAAGGGGAATATGCTCTCTTAGCGGCTGCAGCTGAGAGAGCATATTCTGTGAGAACCCCAAGGACAGGCCAGTACCGATGCCTGAATACTAATACTGGCTTGCCCTGGAACTGGAGCTTCAAGACCTGTCTGGACACAGCAAAAACAAACACATTGGTGTGGTATTTGTTTTTATTAGAAAATCCATTTGGTAAGTGCCCCTGATGCAGGCAGAGCCTGTTTAGGCCCCACGGCTTTTATTTAATCTTCCACCCTCTTGAGAGGAGCTGCCAGGGGATGGGGGTGTCAGACAGAGTCCAAAGAGGCCCTCCTGGACCCCCAAAGTTCACATTGTCAGTGACATACCAACAGCACCTTGGCGGGATCCTCAAGCCCAAAGCTGCGGCTAAGGGCAGCCCTGTTTGTATGGCTTCAGTGAGGACAGAGAGGCTCGCCCGAGCTCCCAGGCCTGCCCTCTGCATTCTGGTTGAGTTCAGGGTAGGATCCAAGAAAAGATGGCCACGGGCCAAGAGAACACATTTGATACCCTATGGAGTCTGGAAAACACCTGGATTTGTGGGGGAGAAGGGCCAAGGAGACTCTGCACTCAGTTCTTCTTGGGTTTGGGAGTATCGTACTTCCTCTTGCTGGAGTACCACAGGAGCAGAGGGATGCCTATGGAAGGCAAGGTCATGACTCCAAAGGCTGCCCAGTCCAGCTGTGGAGGAAAACAAGAGCTTGCTTAGGAATCTGGGAGCAGAGACGCAGAGAACAGGGACCAGGAGGAGTGGACGCGGCGAGAAGGGTGCAGGACTCCCAGGGAGGTTCCAGCCTCCAGGACCTCACCCTAGGCGGTGCTTGAGGAGGGGGTTCTCCCTACGGCAAGCCTCCTGGGACTTCGTTCTCTCCCCTCATCCTCACCCTGCCCTGCCCCAAGCCTTGTTAAGCACTTGTCCTTCCTGGATCACACCAGGTCTTCAGTCACACCTGAGCTGCTCTCAGGCTGCCCTTCCTTGCTCCTGTCAATGGCTAAACCCTCTCTGGACTCAAAGAAGGGACAGAGGGTGCTGCTTCCCGCTCCTCCAGGACCCGTGTAAAACCTGATCCCAGCACTGTCCCTCCACTTCCTTACTCAGTCTGAGATCAGGGGAATGTTGGTGTTACACAGTGTCTCATGTAGCCCAGGCTGGCCTCAAACTGGCTAAATAGTTAATGATGACCTTGAACTCCTGAGTTTCCTGCCGTGTGCAAGCTAGGCAAACACTCTACTGAGCTATCCCCTAGCCCCAGGTAATCTTTTAAAGGGAGGGACTATGTCTTATTTGTAGCTTCTGGATGAATAAAAGAATTCCCTCATTCAGTGTTTAGTAAGCCTTTAAAAATTGTCTCCAAGCTCCAGCTGGTTGAGGTGGCCCATGACTCTATCCCAGCACTCAGGAGACAAAGGCAGGTGGATCTCTAGGAGTTCTAGGCTAGCCAGGACCTCAAAAATCAAAACAACAACAAAGAAAAACCTACGGAAAATGAAATCAAAGTTAAGCTCACTCAAATATCCCAATACTCTATGACCCTCTGAATCTGTTGAGGCCTCCAAGTGACACAGAAGTCTAAGACAGGCTTTCACTTAAGGCTAAAGAGAAGGACAGGCCAGTTCTCTGGTGCTGGCTCTTGTGAGCTCGTTTGACAAAAATCTGGACAGGATTACATCAGGAACATATCTAAAACTGTCTCTGTCTCACAAAAGCAATAAATAGATAAGGCAAGAACAAGTCACTCAATTTTCTAAGGAGACCATGAGTTTCCAAGACCAAAAGAATATTCTCACACCGGGGATGAGAGACAATACTAGAAGGACTTACAAAATGGGGGGAGAATCTCCGGTCAAACTCCCGCTGGGCGAGGATTCCTCCCTGTCCAGGTGCACTCGTGGAGCCAATCTGGAGAAAAAAAAAGTATTAAGGCAAGCTTCAAAGTTACCTCATCCGAGAACAAGTTGTTCCAGGCAACAGGCTTCTAAACATCAGACTTCGTTAGCAACAGACACAGCCAAGAACACTTAAAGAACACGAGTTATAGCTCAAGTGGCAGAGTTCTTGTATAGCATGCAAGAAGCCTCGGTTCTGATCATCAGTACTGGGAGAAAGAAGGAAGGAAGCGAGGGAGGGAGGGAGAAAGGAAGGAAAGAAGGAAGGAGGGAAGGAAGGAAGGAAAGAAGGAAAGAAGGAAGGAAGGAAGAAGGAAGGGGCTGTTGAGATGGCTCAGTGGTTGAGAGGACTGGCTGTTTTTTTAATTTATTTTTCCTTTCTCAAGACAGGGTTTCTTTGTGTAGTACCAGTCCAGAACTGGCTGTTTTTGCATATGACCTGGATTTGGTCCCCAGCACCCACATAGTAGCTCACAACCACCTATAACTCCAGTTCCAGGAGATCCAATCCCTTCTTCTGACCTCTTCAGGCACTAGGTTTGCACATGGTATACATACATACAATTAGGCAAAACTCTCATATACATAAATAAATCTACAAAATTTTCTATTTAAATAAATTTTGTTTTTGTTGTTTTGGTTTTTCGAGACAGGGTTTCTCTGTTTTGTTTTGGAGCCTGTCTTGGAACTCGTTCAGTAGACCAGGCTGGCCTCCAGCTCAGAGATTAGCCTGCCTCTGCCTCCCATAAAGGCATGTGCCACCACTGCCCAGCTTCCTTAGGATTTTATAAAGACAAGTAGATTAGGAGTCAGGGGAACTGAAATCCCACATAGCGGGGCTCACCACTCAGCGAGCACCTGTTAAATGGGACATGCTAGCGACATGACAAAAACCAAAACTTGATCCACAAGGATGAAGACACAGACCATTTTTGTCTGTGGAACAAGGTGTATCATGGAGTTAGCAGTCCTTGGCAATCATTTACTTATTCCTCAAGAGAGAACACTCTTTTCTACTTCACAGAGCTGACCCAACTCAAATGAAGCAGTACGAAGCGCCCTGAAAATCTGAAAGCCCTACCCAAATGTACATTACCAGAGGACGCCTGGGCTGCTCCACATTCCTGTACTTTGAAGAGGGGCCAAGAGTTTGGAGCTCACTGAAAGAACTCTGTTCCCAGGTGGCAGGGAAGCCTTTGACTTTTGTGACTATTAACCCCTAAGTACCAGGTAGTGCTGAGCATAGTGGCTCACACTTGTAAAACCAGTACTTGGGTGAGGCAGGAAGGTTGGAGTTCAAAGCCGGCCTCCTTCAGAGTTTGAAGAAGGAAGGTCAGCCTGGGTGGGCTACAGGAGAATCTGCCTCAAAAAATAAGAAAAAAAAAATCGATCAATCGCCGGGCGTTGGTGGCGCACGCCTTTAATCCCAGCACCCGGGAGGCACAGGCAGGCGGATCTCTGTGAGTTCGAGGTCAGCCTGGTCTACAGAGCGAGTTCCAGGATAGCCTCCAAAGCCACAGAGCTGTCTCGAAAAACTAAAAAAAAAAAAAAAAAAAAAAAAAAAAAATCGATCAATCAATTAACTAAAACTAAAGCTGGATGCAGTGATACACATCTGTAACCTCAGCACTGGCAAGACAGAGGCAGGCATTTCTCTGAGTTCAAGGCCAGCCTAGTCTACAAAACCAGTTCCAGGACAGCCAGGGCTACAAACATAAGCCCTGTCTCAAAAAACAAAAAAAAAAAAAACAAATTTAGAGGCTGGGCATGGTGACACATGCTCTTGATCTCTGCACTTTGTAAGAAGAGACAGGTGGCTCTCTTCTGTGTTCAAGGCCAGTCAGGATTACACAGTGAGCTGTGTCTGGAAACAGAAAGAAAGATGGAGAGACAAAAGACTCCCAGAGGATGTGCAACAGCAGGAGGGAAAGCCTGCTCTTCTGGGTGGTAAACATTCCATTCTGAGTGAGGGAGAGACAGTAAGGGGAGCCTGGGAAGGTGACTGGAGAGCAAATAACACATTCCAGACTAAAGGGAAAGCAGAGGCACAGAAGAGAGATGCTATGGCTCCCACCCTGGGCAGGTACACTGTTCAACTTACCACGACAGGCCCGTCCTCCTGGGCCAAGTAGGTAATGGTTGCTGACGTGAAGTTGAAGTAGCCAGCTTTGAGAGGACGCAGGACCACTGTGTGGGAGACATTGCTAGCACTAGGCCAAGGGTTAAGGAAGCAAAATGGTGATGAAGGCCTAGAGTAGTGGTATATTCGTTTAATCCTAGCATTCAGAAGCAGAGGCAGGCAGATCTCTGTGAGTTCCAGGACAGCCAGGATATATATAGACCCTGTCCCAAAAAACAAAATGAAACTAAAGCAGTAACAACCTTTCAATTTCTGAATTAAATGTCCCATTGACAAAACAGACAGCAACACATGTAGTAACTTCATGCCTACCATACCCACATTTTAAAATCAAGGCATATGGGTCTGGAGAGATGGCTCAGAGGTTAAGAGCACTGGCTGCTCTTCCAGAGGTCCTGAGTTCAATCCCCAGTAACCACATGGTGGCTCACAACCATCTGTAATGAGATCTGGTGCCCCCTTCTGGCCTGCAGGCATACATGGAAGCAGTGTTGTATACATAATAAATAAAAAAAAATCTTTAAAAAAAAAAAAACTCGGCCGGGCGTTGGTGGCGCACGCCTTTAATCCCAGCACTCGGGAGGCAGAGGCAGGCGGATCTCTGTGAGTTCCAGACCAGCCTGGACTACCAAGCGAGTTCCAGGACAGCCTCCAAAGCCACAGAGAAACCCTGTCTCGAAAAACCAAAAAAAAAAAAAAAAAAAAAAAAAATCAAGGCATATGGCAGGGCGGCAGTGGTGGCACTCACTTATATTACCAACAGTCAGCAGGCAGAGGTCAGTAGATCTCTGTGAGTTCGAAGCCAGCCTGGCCTACAGTGAGTTCCAGGACAGTCAGGGCTACAGAGTGAGACCCTGTCTCAAAAAAGCAAAAACAAAAACTGTTAAAAAAGAAATCAGACACTCAATCCCAGCACTCGGGAGGCAGAGGCAGGCGGATGTCTGTGAGTTCGAGGCCAGCCTGGTCTACAAAGCAAGTTCCAGGACAGTCTCCAAAACAATACAGAGAAACCCTGTCTTGAAAAACCAAAAAAAAAAAAAAAAAAAAAAATCAGACACTCGCCTTTAATCCTAGCACTCCGGAGGCAAAGGCAGGAGAAGGAGAATCTCTGAGTTTGAGGACAGCCTGGTCTACAGAGCAAGTTCCAGGGCAGCCAGAGTTGTTATAAAGAGAAACCCTGTCTTGAAAACCAACAACAACAACAAAACCCAAAGAAACCATACACTCATTGAGTGAGAGGGGCACTAATAGGTTATTCAGTTTCTCCATGCTAATATCCCACTGAATCTGTTTTGACAATACCTTAGGTATAGGGCATTTACTTGGTGTGTGTGAATGCTTGGGTCTCTTTCCAGCAATGCAAAGAAAAAAAAGCACCTTTGATATCCATTTGTGCTACCAATGCCCTTATAAATGTCTGTCTTCCTAAGGAAATGCAGGGCTTAAAACTAAACAAAGGCCAGCCGGGCGTTGGTGGCCCACGCCTTTAGTCCCAGCACTCGGGAGGCAGAGGCAGGCGGATCTTTGTGAGTTCGAGGCCAGCCTGGTCTACAGAGCGAGTTCCAGGACAGCCTCCAGAGCCACAGAGAAACCCTGTCTCGAAAAACCAAAAAAAACAAAAACAAAAACAAACAAAAAAAAAAAACACTAAACAAAGGCAAGCCCACACGGCTGACTCCTCCTGCAACCCTTCCTCATATATATATGAGTATATATGAGGTACATACCAAGAGCCACACGCCCACTCCGTTTGAAGCAATGCCCCCCTCCCAGCCCTTATCACCTAGAAAAAGATACGGGGCAATTCGGTCCCACTTGACGTTGAGCATACCAGAGACAATGCCGAAGTCTTCTGGGGGGAAGGAATCGTCAGATAATTCCACATCTAATGCAGCACTAGAAAGCAGAGAAAACAAAAAGAGTAAGGGATATCAAATTAAGGCAGCTAACCAGAAAATCAACCTGCTTGTCAACAAGAGAGGTAAGATGAAGACGGAAAAGAAAAATAAAATGAAAGAACAGAAATAAAAGAGCTCATGGGGCTGGAGGCAGAGGCAGGCGGATCTCTGTGAGTTTGTGGCCAGCCTGGTCTACAGAGTGAGTTCCAGAGCAGGCTCCAAAGCTACACAGAGAGATTCTTTCTTGAAAAACAAACAAACAAACAGAGTGGGTGCTCATGGGTGGGAGTCGCGCCCCCCCCAGGTAAAAGGACTAGATGTACATTCTGTGTCTGCATCTCCTTTTTCACAAGATGAGTTTGTCTCTTGCCTTTGAAACCCCTTCCTAGCTGCCAAAGTGGGTGATGCCTTCACTTTCAAAACGAACCCCGCCAAAAATAAGCCCTGTAGTATATTCATTCATTCCTTCACTCACGGCAGCCGATGCTGGAGGGCTCCAAAAGAGAATTCGCTCCCCAACAAAATGTTCTCTATGCCCACGTGGAAGCTCAGGATCCAGGAAAGAGCATGCTTACCTGGAGCCCACATTGTAGATGTTATACTGCAAGGTCAGGTCCCGCCCTTCCACAGCGTATCTGTTCAGCAACGATTTGGAGGCCAAAAGCCTGGCTCCTTCTTCGGCTCGACTGACAGCTAACACAGCCAACACTACAAACGCTAGCGGCCTCATCTTTGGAAAAGAGAGCAGAGTGAGCCATCAACTCAAGTAAGGAAAGCCCGCCAGGCGGGCACCATGCGCGGTGCCACACTCCAGCCCCAGGACATTATCGGCAGCCGCAGGCCCCGAGAACCGCCCAAGTCACAGCAGTGCGCACCGCACTTCAGGTCACGCTGGGTCTTCGGGACCCACAGTCCCACTGCGACTGCCAGACTCACCGTGAGTACCCCAAACGCCTCTCTGGGCCACAGACAACAGGAAGACAACGTCAGCATCCAAAAGACCGGAAGCAGATCTGACCGGAAACCCTAATGTCCCGCCCAGTGCCTTGTGGATGTTGTAGTTCTAGATCAAGCCCCGCATTTCTCTTTGTGGCCACTGCCACCTAAGGGAAATGACCTGGACCAGCGGTTCTCAACCTGTGGGATGTAACCTTTCTCAAAGGGGATGCATATCATATATATCTCGCATATCAGATATTTTCATTACGATTCATAACAGTAGCAAAATTATAGCTAGGAAGTAGCAATGAAATAATTTTATGGGCGGGGCGGTGGTGGCGCTCGCCTTTAATCCCAGCACTCAGGAGGCAGAGGCAGGTAGATCTCTGTGAGTTCGAGGCCAGCCTGGTCTACAGAGCAAGTTCCAGGACAGCCTCCAAAACAATACAGAGAAACCCTGTTTCAAAAAACAAACAAAAAAAAAAAAAAAAAAAGAAAAGAAAAGAAACTGCAGAGGAAGGAGGAAGGAAGGAAGGAAGGAAGGCAGGAAGGCAGGAAGGAAGGGAGGAAGGAAACTGCCAACATGACTGTTCCATGGTGTGGTTAAGGGGAAATTTTATGGGTTTTGGGGTTTTTGTTTGTTTGTTTGTTTTATTTTGTTTTGTGTTTTGAGACACAGTTTTTTGTGTAGCAGCCCTGACTATCCTGGAACTCTGATCCTCCTGCCTCTGCCTCCTGAGTGCTGGGCTTAATGGTGTGCAGTATCACCACCCCACAAGGGGAAGGCTTTTTTTTTTTTTTTTTTTTTTTTTGGTTTTTCGAGACAGGGTTTCTCTGTGGCTTTGGAGGCTGTCCTGGAACTCACTCTGTAGACCAGGCTGGTCTCGAACTCACAGAGATCCGCCTGCCTCTGCCTCCCGAGTGCTGGGATTAAAGGCGTGCGCCACCATGCCCGGCTAAGGGGAAGGCTTTTTATTGTAAATAAAAGAGACAAAATTGGGCTGGAGAGATGGCTTAGTGGTCAAGAGCACTGGTTTCTCTTCAAGAGGACCTGGGTTCAATTCCCAGCACCCACATGACGGCTACAATTGCCTGTAACCCCAGTTTCAGAGTCTGGACTGCAGGCACTGCATGCTCAGCTAAGCAGCACAGACACACAAGCAGGTAAAACACCCAGACGCATAACGTAAAGAAGTAAATAAGTAAAAGTTAAGAGAGAAAGAGAAAATATCCAGAGGCATTCAGAAGAGTCCAGAATACAGGGAGAAAGAAGTAGGCTGAAAGAGGCCAGCAGACTGGACATGGCCAGGGTCATCTGTGAGAGGGTTAGAATAGCTAGAGACAGAGACGAGCCAGTGTAGCCAGGTGATAAGGATGTGCAGACCAACATGATTAGTACTGTAGTAGTATTGTGGTCGTCCCTGGTGGACACACGGAGGCAGGCTATAGGCAGGCAGAGACACGGACACGCAGCACGCACACCTTTAATCCCAGAGCACTCTGGAGGCAGAGGCAGGTGGTCTCTGTGGGTTCCAAGCCCACCAGAGCAAATAGTGAGACCCTGTCTCACAGCAACAACAAGCAAACAAAATAAGGCTGGATCTGGAGTCTGCTCGCAGTTTTAGAACCTGGGAGCGAGGAGGCAGCAGGTAGTGTGTGACTCCTCTGCAGAAGGCAAAGGGAACAGCACACCCTCTTCAGAGAAACACTGCCTGGAGGTAGCCGTGCCAGTGACTTCCCTTTGTCAACCAGACACCCTATTTCTTACTGTGAGCTCTGCTCCTCTACCTCGGACAGAAGACCACCTCCATCTTGCCTGCTTTCTTACTCTCAGACCTTTGATTAGAGCACATTACTGAATTTTTTTGGGGGGGGCTTTTCGAGACAGGGTCTCTCTGTATTGTTTGGGAGCCTGTCCTGGCACTCACTCTGTAGACCAGGCTGGCCTCGAACTCACAGAGATCCACCTGCCTCTGCCTCCCAAGTGCTGGGATTAAAGGCATATGCCATCGTGGCCAGGCCATTGCTGATTTTTTTTTTTTTTTTTGGTTTTTCGAGACAGGGTTTCTCTGTATTGTTTTGGCATTGCTGAATTTTTTTTTTTTAATCTTGGGAGCTGGGCAGTGGTTGTGCATACCTTTAATCTTAGCATTCAGGAGGCAGAGGTGGGTGGATCTCTGTGAGTTCAAAGCCAGCCTGGTCTACAGAATGAGTTCCAGGACAGGCTCCAAAGCTGCACAGAGAAACTTTGTCTCCAAAACCAACCAACAAACAAACAAAAAAAGAAATATGGGCTAATTTCAGATGTAAGAGTTAACTAGCAATAAACCTGAGCATTTGTAATCAATATAAACCTCGGTGTGTTATTTGGGAGCTGCTGTTGGGACAGAAACTGCAAGTAAGTGTTTTAATTTGCTTCCTACCTTTGTGAGAAACACCATTACTACAAGCACATGTGGAAGAAAGAGTTTATTTCCCTTTCCAGTTTTGAAGTCCTTCATGAAGGGAAGTTAGGGGAGGAACCTAGAGTCAGGAACTGACCAGAGGTCTTGGAGCAGTGCTGCCTACTGACTTGCTCCACTTATTTATTTATTGGTTTTGGGTTTCTGTTGGTTTGTGTTTTGGGACAGGGCTTCTCTGTGTAGCTTGGGAGGCCTGCCTCCTGCACGCTTGCACCACCACCTCCGCCTCCTGCAGTTGGCGCCCCTTTTTATTTTGGTTTTTCGAGACAGTGTTTCTCTGTGTAACTCTGTAGACCAGGCTGGCCTTGAATTCACAGAGATCCGACTGCCTCTGTGCTGGGATTAAAGCATGTGCCACCATATCCAGCATGTATTTTCAAAAGTGTTATTCTAGAAAACTATCATGATTAAGCGATAGTTTATTACTGAGATATGCTCATTTCACAGTATGTATTTTTTTAAATGTTGAGGCATGTATGAAATTGCACCTCCATTCTTACTGCATATACCAATACTACAATTTTGTTTCTCGGATTGTTTTGGCATTGTCCCTTGGGAGCTGTTTCAGTTGGGTCTTTTATGTTAATGTCCTGAAAGGTTGCTGTCACTGTGTAATGCTGCTGTCTTCATTTTATTTTCTTTCTTTCTTTCTTCCTTTCTTTTTTTTTTTTTTTTTTTTTTTTTTGGTTTTTCGAGACATGGTTTGTCTGTAGCTTTGGAGGCTGTCCTGGAACTCACTTTGTAGACCAGGCTGGCCTCGAACTCACAGAGATCCTCCTGCCTCTGCCTCCTGAGTGCTGGGTTCATTTTATTTTCTGAAACCAGGTCTTACTATGGATCATTGGATGGCCAGGAACATGCTATATGGACCAGGCTAGCCTTGAACTCATAGAGAGCCTCCTGTCTGCCTCCTCAGTGTGGCTGGCATGCTGCTGGCTGGTTTTTTATGTAGATGGTGTTTTGCCTGCATGCATGTTTGTGTATCACATGTGTGCAGTACACACACATGTGCACACACACACATGCGCACAGATGTATATGTGCTTCACCTCGCTTGTGCGGAGGTCAGCAGACATGGCCTGGGAGCCGACTCTCTTCCTCCCCTGTGGGATCTAGGGCTGTGTCAGGTAGTCAGGCTTGCAGGGCAGGCAGCTGAGCCTTCTGCCCACCCAGAGCAGCCATTCTGTCGATCATAGTGCGGTGTGTAGCTTCTTTGGCCTTGAATCTTAGAGTCTACATTTTACAGGTCATTATCAGTGAGTGAAGTATAGAACAAAAGTAGAGATTCCCTGTCCTCTAGATGTCCTTTATTTGTATCCTTTAACTCCGTTCCCTGGTCATTACGTATATCTTATGTCTATATGCCAAGATGTCTTAGCCTCTTTTGTTTAAACTTTGAATGCATTAAATTTCACTGTATAGTTATGAACCCATTTTTACCTTGTTTTGTGACAGTGTCTGTCTGTGTAGGGCTGGCTGACCTGGAACTTATATGTAAATCAGGCTGGCTATGAACTTTGCAGAGATCTACCTGTCTCTGCTTCCTGAGTGCCACTCTGTTGGCATTTATCTTAATATCATGAAAAACAGCTTTACTATCCTTAAAAAAATCCTTATTTTTGGTTTGAGACAGGGTATTACTAGATAACAAGCTGGCTTTGACTCAATAATTTTCTTTTTTGTTTTTTGAGTCAGAGTTTCTCTATATCACTGGTTGTGTTGGAACTCATTCTGTAGATCAGGTTGGCCTTGAACTCAGAGATTCATTTGCTTTCTGCCTCCTGACTGCTAGGATTAAAGGCATGTCCCACCACCACCCAGCTCTCATTTATTTATTTATTTAGTTTTTCAAGAAAGGATTTCTTTTTTCTTTTTTTGGTTTTACAAATAGGGTTTCTCTGTGGTTTTGGAGGCTATCCTGGAACTAGCTCTTATAGACCAGGCTGGTTTCAAACTCACAGAGATCCGCCTGCCTCTGCCTCCCAAGTGCTGGGATTAAAGCTGTGGGGGGCCCTCGGCTCAGCTTGCTTTTCTTTTTTTTTAAAATATTTTATTTATTTATTATGTATACAATCTTCAGCATGCCAGTAGAGGGCACCAGATCTCATTCAAGGTGGTTGTGAGCCACCATGTGGTTGTTGGGAATTGAACTCAGGACCTCTGGAAGAACAGTCAGTGCTCTTAACCGCTGAGCCATCTCTCCAGCCCCCAGCTTGCTTTTCTTTATTTTAAAGATGTTTATTTTGCCTGCATGTATGTCTGTGTACCATGCGCATACCTGCTGTCTGCATAGGCCAGAATAAGCTGGAGCCAGATTCCCTGAACTAGAGTTACAGATGGTTGTTGATGTTTCTAAACCCTGATAAGCCTCTCTACTGATGTAGCAATTCAAATCAGACCAAATCAAACCGAATTAGAAAAAGTCCTCACTTAATGGATACAATGCTCCCTGATGGCCTTCCAGTCTCCCAGAAAGGATACAGGAAAGGGAGATCAGAAAAACTAGGAGTCTGTTTTCTGGGAGGCAGTGTAAATACCATGAGGAAGTGGTCTTGAGCATCTCTGTGAGAGGGATCATCATTCTCCTTGATTTTTTTTTCCTTTTATTCAGCATTGGAATTTGTA